GGGGTGACTTCGCCACCATGTTATAAATGCAAAAATGAAATACTTATCCGATGCAATTCAAAATATTTTTTTAAGGTAGCATCATTTTGATCTCAAAATTGGCTTTTAGAAAGTTATAGTTTATATATATTGAAAATTAACACAGGAATGCACAGTGGTAGTATAGAATAGCAAAAATTGCCAAAATAAAAAAATGGATGAAGCTGGACCCATTTTTTTCAGCACAGCCAAGATCAGCTACATTTCCTGAGTTGGCTAGTATGACTGGCTGAAGAAATCTGTACCATTTTATATATCAAAACGCTGATAATAAGAGTACCGGAAAGTTGCCGCAATGACGTCCACTTTCTGTTCCTCTGAATGGCGCTGGAAGAAAGCGGCAAGGTCCTAGAGTACCGATACAATCATGTTTCTACTTATTTATCTATTCTGAACCATTTTTCAGTTTCTATTTACTATAAAATGTCAATTATTTTCAACAAGTAAAATGTATTATAAAAAGCAATGCATCTCTCCTTTTTGTACATCATTTAAGAGCAAAAAAAAAACTCGAATTGCTTTATATTTTTCCAATTAAACAATTAAGGATGGTTGCCCTTCCCCATACAACTGAAAAAAAATATTTGAGAAATATTTGTTAGCGTTAAAAAAACATTATTTGGCATAGTGGCAAAGTCACCCATTTTTCAGTTTAACTTTGCCACAACTCATTTTCTTTAAAAACTTATATTTTCAGGCAAGATATAAAAACGTAATAGCAAAACCCAAAGAGCTAATCTTCATCCGTGTTTTGAACATAGTCATCCCAATACGTTAAAGGGGCCCTCCCACCTTCAAAAAAGTTAATGAATTGGCATGAAAGTGATGTCGCTCGGTTCAGAAAGAGCGAAAACGAATATCTACCAAATTTCACCGAAAAATATTCACCGGTTTTCAAGATATTAGACTTTTACTTTTGTTTACTTTTTGGGATCTTCGCTGTATTCCTAGCGACTTTATTTGGAAGCAATAGTTTGGCAGCTGAAAGTGCGGCACTTGTTGCGCGCAAAGCAGCATATACCACCGCGTGCTACAAAACGTTTTAGTCAAACATTTAAAAATCGTTAGATATCTGCGCTGACGTCACACATTCAGAGGGGTATTCCCATGCATGAGCCCCTCTGAATCAAAATGCTGCAATTTTGAAATTCAATATTTCCGATTTAAGGCATTTCTCGATGTTGTGAGTGCCGAAACCGGTAATTGTGAGCCAGAGACCCCATTTTGGCTATCTCAACTCAAATCTAATGTTAAGGTGGGAGGGTCCCTTTAACAAGTTTAAATAATACAAGCGTCTAAAGTTGAAAACATGGCAAAGTCACCCCCGTTTACGGTACTGGCAAAAATGGAGCTATTATGATATCGCTTGTTGGTAATTATGTGTGGCGTGCATCATAAATGATTGCCGCATAGAGAAGCAGCTGTTTACTGAAGAAAATGACATATTTTACACACAAGAACAATCTGAACCCCAATGTCCGCTGCTATATGGAGTTTGTACCGTAACGTTGGGGAAGAATTGGCACCGGGATTTGGCAGCAGAAGATAAAATGATCACAAATCACAAATCACATCACAAATTATGCCTACATTACATGACCAAATATATCTAAATATATGCGAGACATCATGCTGTTTGCCGTAGTATAGAGACCTTGTTTTATTAATAACTCAATACAAATATAAAGCGATTAATGGATCTTTGTTATTGTTACAAAACTGACGTCTCTTCGTTTTGCATGTGGCACGTGCATAAGGGGTCACCCACATGCATAGGGAATAGTCCAATACTTGGTAGAAGGAACGAAGCTACCCTACAAAAAGTACTGCATGTAAATCGGACAAGTGGTTGCTAAGATATAAGCTTCGCAAAAGCGTCCGCACGGCCGGCCGGCCAGCCAGCCGCTCATACTCAGAAATTTCCGTTAATCTACGAAAGACTACGCTCACTTCTCTCGCTCGGTAACGACAGACTTCGCTCGCTTCGTAATAACTATGTTGTTTTGATGGTGAACTACACCGTCGTATAGCGGCATTTTCATGTTACTTGCCATTTTTTCATACTGCGCTAGTACTAGTGGTGTCAATTTCAGAAAACGCATGTCCAAAGTCCGTCCAATGTCCAATGCTTACGTCGATTGTCCGTCCAAAAATGTCCAAGCCAGCCATTTGTCCAAAGATGTCCGACACCTATGCAATAGTTTACACTCAACACTGTTATTTAATTTGCTTTTCATGTACCGTTACGAGCTCAAAAGTGTTAATCATATCGAAAGCTGAGATTTCTAATAGCCAATCAATGTTAAACACGACTACTTTTTAAAAATGTTGAGGTGTAGCAAGCGATTGTCCAAAGTTGTCCAAAGCCTGCTGCCATTGTCCAACCGAATTCCGGATTGGACATTGGACAAAATCGGAATTCCGAAGATTCAAGTTCCGATTGACACCACTAGCCTAGTACCCACCAAAGTCCGTGCTCCCGCCGACCTTTGATCTCTGGCGTTGCCGATAGGCGGCGCTGGCGGCGCGTCTCGCGCTATGGCCGCGCCTGGCGCAGAACGGAATCAGAATTGCAAGATCGGGGGGTAGAAGGCAGCACTGGCGAATCCAGGCTTGCGTTTTGGAGGGGGGGGGGGGGCAACTCATGCAGGAGCCAAACCTAGCGTACCCCCAAATCCTGTTTTCTTATCGGATTTAGGCCACTTATTTTTCGTCACAGCCCTGACACTATGATTTTTTTTTTTAACTAAAAAAAATATATAAATGGTAGCCCACCCGACCCATGCCTTTATATTACTTTGTAAACACTTACCATTGCTTTTGTCGACCAGTTAACCCGCTTCGAGTCAGTGCTTGGGTCCCTTTGCGGGCCGCGAGGTGGTAAAACACCCCCTGTCTAACTCGGCTCCTGAGTCCTGGGCCACGCACTGATTGAACTATGTTTCATTATCGTTTGGGGAGGGGGCAAACGGGCCACTTTAGGCCTCTGGGAAGGGGGCATGGCCCTAAATGCCCCCTCCCTGGATCCGCCAGTGTAAGAGACCATTGGAGCTGCAGTTGGGTACCTCAGACGTCAGGGTACGCCCTCAGATGTATAGGACTCGCATGGAGACCTCTTATGCTATATGTAGTGGACTGAAAGGACCCAAAGGAGCCTGTCTAGGGCTCCCGGAGATAGACGTGGGCCCTCAGGACTAGGAGCCCGCCAGAGCCCCCAATGAAGGATAAGTGAGGAATACCAAGTGCCTGCAATTGCATATTGCATAGGCCATAACGCCTTTACAAATCAATATATATTATGTATCAGTGGCAGATCCAAGGGGGGCCACATGGGTCATGACCCCCCTTGGTACGCCCGGGGGAACCACAGGCCTGTCAGGGGCACCACCGGCCTAGCAGGGGCACCACCAGCCCGCCAGGGGCACCACAGGCCTAGCAAGGGCACCACGGGCCTGTGAGGGGCCCACAGACTTGTCAGGGGCACCCCAGGTCTGTCAGAGACACCAGAGACCTGCCAGGGGCGCCGCCGGCCTCGCAGGGGCACCATGGGCCAGTCAGGGGCACCAGAGGCCTAGCAGGGGTACCACAGGCCTTACAGGGGCACCACCGGCCTTGCAGGGGCACCTTGGGCCTGTCAGGGGCACCACAGTCCTGTCAGGGCCCAGGGGCACCAGCGGCCTAGCAGGGGCACCACAGGCCTGCCAGGGGCACCACCGGTCTAGCAGGGGCACCACCGGCCTCGCAGGGGCACCACCGGCCTCGCAGGGGCACAATAGGCCTGTCAGGGGCCCCACCGGCCTCGCAGGGGCACCACCGGCCTCGCAGGCATCACGGCATCACGCCGGGGCACCTTGGGCCTGTCGGGGGCATCACGGGCCTGTTGGGGGCACTTTAGGCTTGTCAGAGGCACCACAGTCCTGTCAGGTCCCAGGGGCATCAGCAGCCTAGCAGGGGCACCCTAGGCCCGCCAGAGGCACCACAGGCCTGCCAGGGTCCAGGGGCACCACAGGCCTAGGAAGGGCACCACGGGCCTGTCAGGGGCACCTCAGGCTCCCGTGCCCTCCCCCCCGGATCCGCCAGTGATGCCACACCACGCGAAACACCGCCAACTACCAGCTGCCGCGCCATAAACACGTGCCAACAACAGTCTTTTTTTTTGAAGGTCGACTCCGCTCGCGCAACTTTTGACTGACCCTCACTGCTACCATATTGCTTCTATATTATGCTGTGGAAAGCTTTACTTCACCAAGTGGCTAAAAACCTCTATCAAGGTATATTTTCTTAGCAATTTTTCTGAGTTTTTGGGGGGCCAAACAGGCCAATTTAGGCCATGGAGGGGGGGGGGGGCATGACCCCCGTGCCCCCCTGGATCCGCCAGTGGAGGGCAGGGGTCAACGCAACAAGCTTCGCTTAGCGGGGGCTCTGTCCTTGTGAATCCTTCCATTCAAAAGGTTCGGACTAAATCTATTTCTTAAAAAAATCCTGACCCAAATGACCTTCGACCTGGGATCTCTTTCCCCAGACCACATCAGGCCTGAATCGTGATTCGGCGTATGTCGGCGCACATGATTCGTGCATTTGAAGACTTTTGTGATAAGAAGCGTGTCAGCATACCTACACCTTTTTTTAAACCCCACATTTGTTCTCCGGTGAATTTCAGACAAGTTGGTTAGAGACCTTCAAAAAAGGTACAATCACTCGATTTTTCTCAAGTTTGTCTGTCTTGGCAGATAAAGCAATAACAGAACAGGCCTACGAACACACATATTTGATCAGGATCGGACGATTGGACACTTTTAAAAGGAGATCTTTCGTGCCTCCCGGAAATTCACGGGAGAGCAGATGTGGGGTTAAGAAAAGGTGTCGATATGAAATGTTTGTGCCATGCGGAGACAGGGCACAGATCAGTGACGGCCGAGCACAGGTCACAGGTCGGCGGCGGTCGGCTGGCGGCGGCTCACCGGCGCTGACGGCGGTCAGCGACTCCGGCGGGCCGGCCGCCGAGGCCGCCACGCGCCGGTGCAGGTCGCTGAAGCTGGCTTGGCTCTGCTCGCCGGGCGGCGGCAGGCAGGTGCCGGGCGGCGGCAGGCAGGTGCCGGGCGGCGCCGGCTCGTCGGGCTCCGGCAGGCAGTTGCCGGCCGGCGCCGGCTCGTCCGGCTCCGGCTGCGGCGCTGGCTCGGGCCTTTGTCTCGACTGGGCCGGCAGCGAGGCGCAGCTGGCTCTCCTGCTCCCCTCCGGCTCCGGTTCCCGCTCCGGCTCCGGTTCCGGCTCCGGCTGCGGCTGAGTGCCGGCGGGAGCCGGGTGCGGGTCTGAATCGGAGCCGGCCGTCGGCCGCTCGTCGCCACCGACCGCCGCCGACTTCTCACCGATCTGGATCACAGTGACGTTGTCCTCGTTGATGATTTGCACGGTGCGCTCCAGTCGCTGGGCGGGGGCGGCGGCGGCGGCCGTGGGCGCCCCGTCGTCTGGCGCCGTGTCTGGCTCGCCGCTCCTCGTCGCCGGCTCGGCCTCGGTCCGCTTGGTGACGAAGCGCTGCCGCCGCTGTCGAGCACAGACGGTCGTCACCGATATACGTAGACTGCTCAGCACACGTGCCACCCGACCACCTACAGGTGCCGCGCGGTACAGTAGGTCTATTAAAAAAGTCCCCAGCACCAGTGGGCGCTGCCTTCGCTGAGCCGAACCCCCGTCTGCCTGTCCCATATCGCGCCGCGTTCAGGTCAGGTAGGGTCAGCGGGTCCGCTCGGTCCGGCCCGCGGGCGGTGGACGGGCGGCCGGTAACGCTTTCCGCCAGCCAGCTGTAGAATCCAACAAACGGGACGGCCACCGCTCAGCGCAGCGAAACCGGTGTTAAAGAATGGCAGTAGATGTTCATGGCCACAATGATTATGAGATAGTCATTGTTAGCCCGTGCCCCACAGGAATGCCTAGACTCTTACGCCCTGTTGGAGGGGAATTGGGGACTGAGCATCATTCTCATAACTCAGCTTTGGGCATTTAATTGGTATTCGAAGTAGCGTCAAAAGAAGCAAAAAGATCAGCCAATTTTGGATCGGGTCATAGCCAGAGGTCATGTCACTAGAGGTCATCGATGATAAAATTTTGCTTAGACAGGGTGCGTTGCGCGCACCGGTGCATTAGGTTTCCAATTTCCATGGGAACATCAACAGACTCGGAAGCTCGCAACGCTAGTGTGGAGCCGAATTCATATCAACCGCCGCAACAATGCAGCAGTGCAGCGCAGCGTGCTGCAGAGTGGGGCCGTGAAACACCGCCCAGGGCTATCCATGTGTCAGGGCAATCCAACCCACGTGATGGGCTCGGCCCCAGCGGAGCATGAGGTCCAGGACTCCCGCCCAGGCCCCCTGTCTCCCCCTAATTCCTATCATCCTTCCCACTCTGAAATCGACCGAAAGAGCCTAACCTAACACAACAATCAGCTCGTTTACCGCTATGTCTGAATAATATTGCCAGATTTAATTAAGGTCAACGGCCTAGCATGTAAATAACAACAACTGCCACCATCGGTATTATGAGAAAACCAATTGCTTTTCCACAAACACTTCAAAGTTTTTAGCTTAAGACTTGCATGAAATTAATTTTACCAGCCTCGTGTTCCTCTTATCAAAACGCTTCGAATGAATCAAAAGTTGATCTTTAAAGTTCATTTGAAAAATTTGGCCTATGTTCAAAGACATGACCTGACCAGAAATGGTCATAATGCATAGCAGGATATTAGATCCGTATCGTGGAACTTTACAAACACCTCAGATGATTTCATAACTTAAAGGAAATAGTTCACTTTCACGAAATTATTTTTTTTGCAACGGATTTATGATTTTTTATGTTCAAAATAATCAGCAAAGAAAATAAAACCTTTTTATAACAAAAGATTATTTTCTATATTTTGATATAGGAAGAACTTTTCAGTTTCTGTAAGGCACACGCGATCCAGTATGAAAAGAGCATGGGTCCCGAAAATTCTTCAGAAACAGAGAAATTATCGCAGCCACCGGCATTTGGGCGATCTGCTCGATCTGATAATGTTCCCCTGAATGTCCTAATTGATCAGTACGAGAATTTCTCTAGAGTTCTCGTAGATAATTTCTCTACTTTCTGAAGAATTTTCGGGACCCATGCTCTTTTCATACTGGATGGAAATATATGCAAGGCACACATCCTCAACGCAAGACACCTTTTTCGGGACGAGAAATAGAATATCTTTGCCTAGGGTGATCGTTGGGCTGTAAAAGCTCCTGATTTATGCTCGTCTCAGCCCAAGCTACGGAACTGCTATTCCAGTTCAAAACCCATGTTAAAAAGTGAACTATTTCCTTTAAGCATGTCTATCAAAAATAATTATTACATGGCTCATATGTAAGCTGGGTGTGTGAACATGCTTATGAGTATGTTGAAGGCAACTGATAATGTTCTGTTGGCCACAATTTCTATATTTAATTTGTCCTCCCGGATTTCATATTTTTGTTAATGACACCTTGACGATGTCGAGAAAAAACGCTTAGGAGATTTAACAGCCTGAGATACATTCAGTATAAGGAAGGTTCAAGGGTGCTAGATTCCTTCCGTCCTCGCTATCCTCAGGAAAAACCAATCCGCATCGCCCCTAGTCTTCATGCTTCCCTCTCTGGACTGGAGGTCACCTCACCAGCCAACCTGCAGTTGATGTCGGATCCATTCCAGGACACATAATCCTCTTCGGGTGACCGTTTGGGAGACGGATGGACCGTCCCGACAGGGCAATCGTCCCACGGGAACAGTCTCGCTTCCGCAGATCACTGTCGCTGGCTCGCACAACCCAATTACTACACCAGAGCATAGTTATGTCATAGCTCTGCAAGGGCCTTTTCAGACCAAAAAAAGATGGCCCCCAACAAAACAAACAATTTTCTCATTCGGTATCGTATCTCATCAAGCACCACATGTTTTCAGAGTGTTTATTATGCGTTCCGTCCAAAAAAGCGCAGTTCAATTTTCTCCCATTGACTTGAGTGATCTCAAAATTGACCCGGCCTTTCTGTCAACAATGTCAAAATTGCAAAGTAAACGTTTCAAATACATATACTGTTGCCCATTAAAATCGCTGAAAGTTCTGAAGCGATCGGTTAGTCGGTGTATTTAGATATGATGAGCACAGGAACTTTCCTTGAGGTAAGGTCACTTGACGTGACGTGACCTGGTGTTATGACCCTGAATTGAAAGACTTGGGCGGGAAAATGGGTCATTTGAAATCTTAAAATGCTAGATTTTAACAATAATTGCAAACACTATCCCGGCCAAATAGTGAGTGAGAAGGGAGCGATTTCCCGACCCCATGTTTAGCTCCTATAATTGAGCTAGCTGCTAGAGCCTCGCGGAAAAAAATCGAGCGCTTGCGTCGTTACGTAACGCAGCGACTAGTACCCCATTTTAAAATACCTATCAGTGACCTCTTTAGGGCAGTTCAAGGGCCCCAAGGCATTTGATCGGTTTTTGGTAAATAATAAACGCATTATCGTCATTTCGATACAATCGTGTTTTCCGTTCTCAGACGCGTCGATTTATATGCTTTTTTGTTTAGGTGAAGCAATTTAGGATGTTTACCTCAGGTCAATGTCATGTTAGGGCAACGCAGGTCACGCAGCTGTTGAAAGGAGGACATGTTGCATAACATTTGATTCGGCAAGTCTTGCAAAGTCCATTGATGGCTGTCCCGACTGGCTAGCTCATTTTGATCGGGAGTTATTGACGAAGCACTACTATGACCCTAGTGACGTCATAAATGACGTCACGCAAGGTGAACAATGCAAAAGTGAAGCATAAGACCTTGCCAAGAATGTATGAAGTCACGATTTCATGTGCTTGAGGTATAGTTTCAGATCATTTCCGACGCCAAATTAACAGTTTCCACAATTCCCCATTATGCTTATATGACACTAAGTGCAATGCGGATTGCATCATTTTATAACCGACAACCGTGCAGAGGTTTACTTAAGACGTCATAGTTAAGTGACCTGACCTGAAAACGTGGTTGATGTCAAGTGATCCAGCTTGAATCAAATGTAAGGCATGTGAAATGTCAGCCTTCTATCATCAGTGTGCTTTGAGCTACCGCAAAAAAAATACATGGCCGCCACTTCTTCTCGGCCGGCGAGGGTTAAACCTCGCTTCGAATTATTGCAGATGATTATGCGACCGAAAACAAAACATTTATCTGTGTCTAGAACGGCCGCTGACTTATTGGACAAGATCTCCAATCTTAATTCGCTAGATGGGAATAAAATAATCGGTATGTGATACATATAGTTATACCCCTCGATTTGCCCTCGCGCTAAGTCTAGTATAATCATCACTGTCGTTTTTTATCCGAGATGAGGTCGCCGCTAAACGGGTTGTTTTGTTTGCTTGCGTTGAATGGCCATTACGGATTATTGAAGGATTATGATAAAATAGGAATGGGGCAAGGGAGGATATGCACTGCAGGTGTTTAATTTAGATCACAAAGGCATCATTTCCGGCATCGTGCAGAGTCATTATCTTCCCCTCCTCTGCACTGCGGCATCTCTGCGCCCCACACACGGCGTCCTCACTCCACGGCCGGCCGCCGCCAACTGACCCACTCGCCGGGCGCCGCGACCTGACCCGTGTCGCTGCCGCGGCCTGCGCAATAGAGTCGGGGCTGGAATCCGGGGGTTCGGCCGGCCGGCCGCCTCTGGAGCGGGGGACTTTTTTTGTAGACCTACTGTACGGTCCAATAACAATAACACACTTCACAGCGTCATCATACGTCCGGCACTGATAGCGGCGTCAGCACCCGGTCAGTGGCCTGGGGTCAGACCGGAAGGGGCGGATGGTGAGTGGGCCGACCGTCACCGACCTTCAGCTGGGTCAGGATGCGCTGCGCCTCCCACAGCTGCTCCTCTCGCCGCTGCGTGATGCTGCCCGACTTGAGCTGGCCGTGCAGCTGGCTCAGCAGCGACTCCTGCTTCTCAATCTCCTCTTGAATGGCGGCGGCCGTGTCCGGTAGGTCACCGTCGGCGATCGGCGGCACGTACCTGGACAGGCAGCGGACACACAGCCGAGTCAGCCAACACATCTTCAGCGGACGTAGAACGTACACAAACACCGCTAGCGAACACACCGTGAGCGGACACACAGTCAGCGGACACACATCGGGCACAGAATCACATACCGTGAGCGGACACATAGTTAGTGGACACACAGTCAGCGGACACACATCGGGCACAGAATCACATACCGTGAGCGGACACACAGTTAGTGGACACCCAGTCAGCGGACACACATCGGGCACAGAATCACATACCGTGAGCGCACACACAGTTAGTGGACACCCAGTCAGCGGACACACATCGGGCACAGAATTACATACCGTGAGCGGACACACAGTTAGTGGACACACAGTCAGCGAACACACATCGGGCACAGAATCACATACCGTGAGCGGACACACAGTTAGTGGACACACAGTCAGCGAACACACATCGGGCACAGAATCACATACCGTGAGCGGACACACAGTTAGTGGACACACAGTCAGCGAACACACATCGGGCACAGAATCACATACCGTGAGCGGACACGCAGTTAGTGGACACCCAGTCAGCGGACACACATCGGGCACAGAATCACATACCGTGAGCGGACACACAGTTAGCGGACACCCAGTCAGCGGACACACATCGGGCACAGAATCACATACCGTGAGCGGACACACAGTTAGTGGACACACAGTCAGCGGACACACATCGGGCACAGAATCACATACCGTGAGCGGACACACAGTTAGTGGACACACAGTCAGCGAACACAGAGTTAGCTGACGCACGGAATCCGCGGCTACATTAGTGCCCGTTTTTCGGGTGCCAGTGTTGTTGGGTGTCGGCTGAGGGTGACTGGAAGTAGCCGTCAGTCGTCACCCACCGTTTGATGATGACGCCGCTGAACAGAATCTTTCCGTAGAGGAAGAAGGCGTTGAGAACCCGGTGCGAGATCTGCATCGTGGGCGACAGCACCAGCGACACGTTCTGAACGTTCATCTTGTTGACCTTCTCCTGTGGGAGCACGGCGAAGGAAGCACGGCGGTAAACACGCATCGACCACACAGCATGGCGACTAAAGGCTTATTGATCCGTTGAGGCGCATCTGATTTTATGAAAATAGCAGCTGGCAATGCAAAACAGGGCTGGAGAAACCGGGAGGGGGACCGTCTCCCCGGGCCCCATTAACTCCATTTCCTGGGGGACTTGGGGGGGGGGGCTAACATATAACGAAAATGGGCCCTTTTGACTTATGTTAACCCTCTAGTGCCCCCGGTATCATATCTGTAAGTCAATTTGCAGAAAATTCGCCTGCTAATCATAGAGGTGAAAATTGTTGAAAACCCTGCTGTATCAGAAGTGGTACGTCTTGGCAACCACCTGGTGGCAAAATTTTTAAGTAACGATTTCTCAGTTTCCCACCAGGTGATTTTGAAGAGGGTCAGTTTGTCCTTTGCCGAAAATCAATTTGAGATGCAAGTGTAAATTTAAGCATTTAGAAAACAAAAAATTAGTTATTTGGAAAGAAACTTGGTATACTGTGAGACAAATGTTCAGCATATATCATAGTATGTTGCAAAACATCGCAACTTTTTCAGGGTCAAAGATATGGACCCTTATTTTTGGGGATACTAGATATGATACAGTGGGCAAAGCACTCCAATATTTTCTATGAAATTTTCGCCGCTGCAACATACGGTGTGCCAATGCCATAGTTTCCTCAGGTGATAAGCATTGCAATGGCCTGTGAGTCATTGCAAATGACGATGGTATAAGATGCATAAATTTGTGAAGTTCGCTCCTCTTGCGCCAGATAACTCTATTTCGCTCCAGACTTAAAATGTCATAACGATATTGGTACGCTTATGCCGCCTCTCATCCTTGTCAATCTTCCAACATCTAGCTTTCTATGAGTGGCCTTACATGCCTCATACATCTCGACTTTTCTAACGCTCATAGGAATATGGTTTTGCAACTGTTTGACGATGACAATAGTGAACTTTTTGATCTGCAGGACACTAGCAGACCATATCTTCTAAAACCACGTTAGGATTTAGGAATGACATGCTATCGATGACAAGCTTGTTGATTTCAAGGAACGATCATCCGTGCGAGCATTTATACTCGTGAAACCAAAAATTGAGACTTGATGGGACAGGAGGATTCAGCGGTCTCTTGCACAATTTCGATATTCCAACAGGGGTTGTGGACGGGCATATTTATGTCTTGTGGGTCTATGTGTTAGCTGGGCATGGCTGAAGACTTGCATTAGCAGCCAGCCAGCATTTTTCATTCATATTGGAGAACGACTCACAATTTGTTTGCGATTCAAATCTCCTCCGTTCATCCCAGTATTAAGAGATTGAATGTGGAGTGGAAAACTATATCGTCATCTTCAGAGGAAGCTGGCTAAACGGGCTCGCCATGAAATCAGACTCCGGACCGAAGGGCGTGGTTCCTTTGATTTCCTATCTAAGAAGTAGGCAGCCATGCACTGCTGCCAGGTTCCAGCAGGTGCGTGACACCTGGCAAGCATTTTCACTGCCAGGTATGTCATTTGTTGTCATATATTGACATATACCCCCAACTGTGGTAGCTGAGTGCCACTGAACAAAAAGGATTTATAGGTACTAAAACATGGATACTACTTTTGTACTGACCATAAGAATAAAAGTTAAAGTGCGGCATTGCGTAATGCGTATGCTCACCTCCATATGAGGTCAATGAATATTGTGCAAGTTCCTGCCGATCGGTGCACAGTTACCTGTACCTTTGTTGTCTGACACGTCCTACAGCGGTTATTGCATTGGTCAGTGCGCGGCTGTTCTACTGACGCCGATGACATCAGGACCGCACGACCAGTCAAAGTACTAACTGACGATTCACAGGCTGAGAGTTTCAGTCACCCGAGATTGTCCGGCTATCATGAAGATAAACCAACATCGTCTTTGGCATTGAGCCCGGTCCGTCGGCAGGCTGTCCAGCATTTCGCATCAGAACTGCTTCACTTCAACCACTTACCGCGAGCCAACTGTAATGTCTTCATTTTTATATCAAGTATGCATAACGCATCTACGTTTGAGAAGCACGGCCCACATGTCTGAATTATGAAAAAAATGCACAAGTGCAACGCGCTGTATCGTGGAAATTGAAGGAATAGAAGGCACTCATAAATAGATGCCTACTAGGGTTACCCGCGTGCTCCGCAACGCGAAGGGGGGATTTTTTGACCCGTGGGTATTGGGTTGGTCTGTGTCGATTTGGTTGGTATCCATTTCGTTCGATTGCTTTTTGACGGCCAAGCATTTTGCAATAAAACAAAAAAGATGCATCGCATCGAGGTGCCCGTGTCGCATTATCATGCGTTCTACTTTAGAATGATTCGAAAACTGACGTGAAGTCTTTTGAGGGCCATCGATGAATTCCGGTAAAAATGACAATGTAATGGTTTGGAACATTTACATTTTTAAGAATGCTGTTGCTTATAATGTAAAAATGAAGACTGAACTTTGGACAGAATTGAATGCTCTTTCCATCGGTGCCATTTTTTGTTGCCAGAAATATCAGATCATTGAGCAAAACCCGTGTGATTAATAAAGTGGCACAAAATAGACAAACACCATTTTCTCCCGTGATTTGTACCACCTTGATTTGGATCAATCAGCTTTTCACAATTTTCCCATGAGAGGCGGTACATTTCTCTTGCCAACAGGCGCTGTTCCAACTCGCTCCGTTTAATGGTCACCTAAAAATAAAATCAATTCCAAAATCCGTCAAAAACCGCAATTTTTCAATCAAAGTACCCTCACGGGTGCACGTGGCACGTGTCATCCCCTGTACTGCATATCATTCGATAACCTGTTCAATTATCTACATGATGCTGTTTTCCCCGTGCCGATCCGGCCCACGGTTACCGAGATATTGCACGGGGACTGGACCCGTGTCGGCCAAAATAAGCCGTTTTCGCCCGATTTCGCACGCCGATTTATACATGTAAAGTCTATGACGCGAATTTGCACTTTTTGAGCACGTGCCACGCGCTCCCTACCAATCCGATCGAGCTGAGACCCCTCAAAGGCACGTCGCGCATCTTTGATCTATAAGTTGTTCAAATTTCACCGGGCTAGGTGCAACGGTCTGGCCTGTAGTCCACGCAAAGCACCACCAAGTCGGGACCTCGGTAACGGACAGACGCACCCTCCTCAAATAGTAATATAGACAAGCGGCTGCGCCACTTGCTTCGCGGCGTAGCCATAAAATGCGGCAGCAGCCAATTTGCTTTCGAATGGTGTTTGATTTAAATCGGTCTGTCGTCTGGAAGCAGAGATATGGACGGAAACGTGCAGAGGAAAATTTTGAACATAGTAACTATTCTGAGGGCTTAGTTGGATGAAATTTGGGTCATACGGGGTCAAGTCAGGTCAAGATAGTCATCCCTGGTCACACTGGGTCAGGCCAGGTCACCTTCGGTCAGGCCAGGTCGTATAGGTCACCACGTCACATTGGATCGGCCTGTACCACACTTCTACTACTTCTACCCATACCACTACTACTACCACTACCCCTACCACTACCCCTACCCCTATCACTACCCCTACCACACTACTCCTACCACTACCCCTACCACTACCACTACCCATACTACTACCCCTACCACTACCCCTACTTCTACCCCTACCACTACCACTACCCCTACCCTACTACTACCCCTACCACTACCCCTACTTCTACCCCTACCACTACTACCCCTACCACTACCCTACCACTACCCCTACTACTACCCCTACCACTACCCCTATCACTACCCCTACTACTACCCCTACTAATACCCATACTACTACCACTACCACTACCACTACCCCTACCAATACTACTACCACTACCACTACCACTACCACTGCACCTGCCACTACCACTGGGTCATGTGAAGTCACAGTCTATAAGATAAACTGATAAACTAAAAAAAGAGTTCCTAACCTTGCTCCTATCGTGTCATTCCATTATTCTTAGTCGTATTTGATGGAAATAGCGCCTTGTGACAAATGTGGCGCATTGCGACAAAAGTGGTGCATTTGTAATTGTCCTTTTGCCATGCATCCTTCCACCGAATTGCACCTTTATATCGGACAATATTTGACAAAGCTGTGCAATTTGCGACAAAAAAGGCGCTTTGGACAAATGTGGCGCATTACGGCAAACGCGGTGCATTTGTGTAAGCGCATTGAGAACTGTCTTTATTTACCGAAAATCAACACCTTCATTCGCCACTGTTTATCAAAATAAATCACTTGGCCAATCTGCAAATGAGAGGCACCCGCCGCCGATCGTCATGCATTTTAGTTGTAAAGTTCATCAAACCCGGCTGCCGATGCCTTGAAGACCGAGCAAATTTGGAGAAAATGCACCTTTTTCCAGCGCGTGCCACGTGCGAATCATCCACCCCCCGGGACTCGAACCTCGACACTGCACGTGCCCGTGACGTCATCAACACCCTGCGAAAATTTCAGCCCTCTCGACCGCACCGTTTGACCTGTGCACGGCGTCAAAGCACCCCTCTGCACGGTGCAAACAGACAGAAACACATACATACAGAGTTTCATTTCACAAATAGTATAGTAGATGATTAGCGTTGTTCCCTAAGCACCGACTGAAAGGACATTTTGATACAAGAAGGATGCCAATGAAATATTAAGAAAATGTTCTGATAATAAGTGCACAGTAAAGGATGTCTTGTTGGCATTTTACACATTTTAACTGCCACTTTTATCACTGAAATTTTTAATAATATATATTTTCTCATCTATGTCTTCACTTCCTTCTGTGTGGTCTGATACCACTAAAAATTACCAAGTGGAATGCCCAATGTATCATATTTGATACAAAATTTATTTCCGAAATTTGAACTGCGAAAAAATATTTGACTCCAGATTTCGAACAAGGGACCCAAAATGAATCATATGTCACAAGGTGCTAATTTTAGGAACCGTGGAACTATGTGTGGGCATTAGAGGGTTAAAAAAGTAATCAGACATTTTGGCCTGTATTAGTGTTTTAATTTTTAAATCTCATATTCCAAGCATCGGAGCCAGTGAGTAGATCCAAGCATCAGTGAGTAGATCTCAATGAGTCGGAGTCCACAGCAAGCTAGTGGGCCCTTAACCCTATTGGTGGCAGGGGGGGGGGTGTTTTCATTTACCCCTCAGGTTTTTCGGGAATATCTCCGAAACCGCTGAAGTTACGATGCTGAAATTTTCTGACTTTTCCTAAAACTAAATTGGGCACATTCCCGGAAAATTTCAAGTTCATAACTCTACCAGGGGCGGCTCCAGAGCACTGGGAATTGGGGGGTCCTCTTCGTGAAGCGAGTCATTTGGGCGAAGATCACGATGCTGATGTATTATAACTGTATGCACCAGTTTTACGAGCACTGAGCAGTGAATGAAAGGTATCATGTGATAACATATACAAAGTTATTGTGCATCCTCTTTTGACACGTTTTTGCTATAATAGGCGGGTCCAGGCGTCCAAAAAGGGGGGTTATGTTTTACCTCCCAACATAGGTGCCCTGACACCGCCTATGCATGACCAATACAATTGTAGTCGCTCTCTCATAAGAAAATTGTAACATAACAAGACTATTATCACCCTTTTTAGAAACAGTACCAACAAAAACCTTATTTACTATACTTTTTGTGTACCCCCAATCTCAATGATCTGTATCCGCCTATGATTTTTGAAAATGCATATTTTTAGGATCCATGTGAATTCCTGGTTCATTTTCTATCGATCGGCAAAAGTTGCGTTAAGATTGGTTCAGAAACCTGGCCGTGATAAACAGTCTAAAGTGTATCTGCAATTTGCCCGTTTTTACCCCCCCCCCCCTACCCCCTATTGACATTTTTTTAATTTTTATTTTTTAGAAATGTAGATCACGTTGAGCGAAATCGAATGCCGTTTGAATTTTGAAAATCAGCCCGTTAGGTCTCGAGATATCAGGGGGGGGGGGTCGTAAACAGCCCCCCCCTGCCACTAATAGGGGTAGCCAGGAGCCTGCCACTAATAGGGTTAATGGTTCCGTGAACCATCAGAGAGCCATGGGCCCTCATTGAGTCCATGTGGTCCAGGTCCAGTAGTGGGCCTGTTGAAAATTTGACAGAAAGGTGTTTGCTAGGCATACTTTCCTTTCACATCCCTCCTATGTACAGCAACGCATGAATGGCGGATCCTGGAGGGCGGGGGGGGGGTCCACGGGTTCATGACCCCCAAAAGGTCTGAGAGGGTCAGTTGACCCCCCTCCAAAAGCAGAAGACCTAAATGCGTTATACATAGACGCCGTCTTGCATGCTCAAAATCACCTGTCAAACACTTCTGAGCTAATACCTTTGTATTGCTTTTCTCTGGATCGTGTTGCGTGAAAAGGCGTATTGAAGGCCAGAATCTTACTCGTTGTTTTCTCAACCGTGGGAGCACCAGGGGATGATACAGGAAAACTCCAAGGGGATGGTCATGAATTTAATTCGTGGTTCCCCTACCTATAGATACCCAAAATTAAAAACTCAACGGATTTCGGCCACTTAATTTTGGTGATGCCGTATTTCCATTTTTATATTGTTTATTTTATTTTTAGTACCCCTGGGCCCTGGCAGGCCTGTGGTGCCCCTGGCCGGACTGTGGTGCCCCTGTCAGGCCACGGCCTGTGGTGCCCCTGCTAGGCCGCTGGGGCCCCTGGGCCCTGACAGGACTGTGGTGCCCCTGACAGGCCCAAGGTGCCCCTGCGAGGCCGGTGGTGCCCCTGGCAGAGGCCTCTGGTGACCCCTGAAGTGCCTTCAAAAGAGGACGTGGGGCCATCAGAAGCGGCTATAATATGACCGTCGGCATTGGGCCTTAAGGGAACTGCATGGGCCTCTGCTGTGACCCAAAATAAGGATCTCGAATGTCGAAGTGGGACCTTGAGAGACAGGTAGGGAGCCAGGGACCCAGGGACGCCTTAAACTCAACAGCGACACCGCACAACGCCCACGTTCCGTTGGTGACAAACACGCACTGGCGGCTTCATTTCACTTCATGAGCTCGACAAACCCGCGTTGCTAAGCAACCTAAACAGCTGATGCGTACTCTTATCGCCCGCGTCCTCTTACCCGTCCTTACCCTATACCCTTTTTGTGGCCTGAAGTTGGAACTTCAGTTTGCAGCCTCTGAAAATGATCAATATTGATCGAAAACATAATTTTGATGAAAAAAAATATGTTAAGTTGAAAGAGGAGGCGACTTCATCCAGATGCGGTGGTTTACTTCTTGAAATTATTTTTGTTTATGACGACCGCCATGCAATGACGGATGATGCGCGGCCGTCAATTAGCAAAAATAATTTCAAGAAGTAAACCACCGCATCTGGAGAAAATGACCTCTGTCAACTTAATATTTTTTTTTCATCAACATCATGTTTTCGATCAATATCGATCATTTTCGGATGCTTCAATTTTAAGTTCCAACTTCAGGCCACAGAACAAACTACCATACAAACAACGGGCATATTAAAGCTGGCTTCTTCTTGCACCAGATGGCGGCACTTCTTTTCGAAAATCAGTGCTTATCTTTCCAAAATCGTGATTTCCTCGCTGAGGAGTGAAATCGGCTTCATCGTTGTCAAAAATAGCAGAATCGTTGCCATTTTTGGCACGTATGACAAAAATAGCACGTGCTAAAAATGACAACGATTGACCAAACCTCTCCCGACTGATATGCCCAAGCCGTTCCCTTTTAAAGATATAGGCGGGAGTATTTTGAGGGGCTTATAGTGGACGCCTGTCATGTGAGTTTTATCCATATTCATTGTATGTTATGTCCTTATTAATTGTCAATAAACTGCTAACTAACTAACCGTCATAAAAGAAAGACCTTATGACCGTAATGAAGGTAAGGAGAGGAGCCGTTTCCCCGCTGCGGCTCGCTGAGCCGGCAGCCGGCGCCGTCAGTCCGTCGGCGCGGCTTACCCGTTTGATGATATGCTCCATGTGTTTGAACATGTACTGAAGCAGCAGCCGATGGGGCGCCGGCAGCCGCTCCAGCAGCTCGGTCAGCTGCTGCACGCGCCGCTCCGGGTCCTTGAGGCCGGCGGCGGCGTCGAACAGCGGCAGCAGCTCGGCCGTCAGCACCGGCTCGGGCAGCTCCCTGGCGTCGGCGTCACAGCGTCACAGACAGCGGGGGCGGCACACAGACAGCGGGGCGGCACACAGACAGCGGGGGCGGCACACACAGACAGCGGGGGCGGCACACAGACAGCGGGGGCGGCACACAGACAGACAGCGGGGGCGGCACACAGACAGCGGGGGCGGCACACAGACAGCGGGGACGGTACACACACAGACAGCGGGGGCGGCACACAGACAGCGGGGGCGGCACACAGACATACAGCGGGGGCGGCACACAGACAGCGGGGGCGGCACACAGACAGCGGGGGCGGCACACAGACAGACAGCGGGGGCGGCACACAGACAGCGGGGGCGGCACACAGACAGCGGGGACGGTACACACACAGACAGCGGGGGCGGCACACAGACGACAGCGGGGGCGGCACACAGACGACAGCGGGGGCGGCACACAGACGGCGGGGGCGGCACACAGACAGCGGGGGCGGCACACAAACAGCGGGGGCGGCACACTGACAGCGGGGGCGGCACACAGGCAGCGGGGGCGGCACACTGACAGCGGGGGCGGCACACCGACAGCGGGGGCGGCACACTGACAGCGGGGCGGCACACACACAGACAGCGGGGGCGGCACACAGACGACAGCGGGGGCGGCACACAGACGACAGCGGGGGCGGCACACAAACAGCGGGGGCGGCACACTGACAGCGGGGGCGGCACACACACAGACAGCGGGGGCGGCACACAGACGACAGCGGGGGCGGCACACAGACGACAGCGGGGGCGGCACACAAACAGCGGGGGCGGCACACAGACAGCGGGGGCGGCACACAAACAGCGGGGGCGGCACACAGACAGCGAGGGCGGCACACTGACAGCGGGGGCGGCACACAGACAGCGGGGACGGCGGCTCACCTGAGGAACAGTTTGAGCAGGCTGGCGACCGTGTGCGGCTCGTGGTCGTACAGACAGACCGAGTCGCGCTGGTTGTAGGCGCGCTTCAACTGTTGCACTTTGGACTTGACGCCGGACAGCCGGTAGATGCCCTCACAGTTGAGACCTGGCGAGAGCACAGGCATGTAACATAACCTCACGGGGGCTTCATTTTTACGGGTGAGAAAAAATCAGGTGGTATCGGATTGAAACAAGTGTAGCAAGGCTACATCTTGGGACGTCTTAACATTTTCAGATCGGGACCCAGCCGCCCGCCATACTCCCCTCCCCATACTCAGCAGCAGCAGTCATCATACCGTGGCGCACTGGTCACAAGCCTTCTATCCCAGCACCTCATCCCCACCAGTGTCAGCGCCGTCGGGACAGAGAGCCGGTCGGCCGCCGCCGCCGCAGCGTCAGCATTCACGTCTCAAACAGGTGAATGTCTACAACGACCCCGCACCATGAGCGACAGAGGTACATCACAGCCCCAAATGAGCTGCTGTGGCGCAATGACCACAGTCCGCTGTCATCGCCACATGCCTGCCCTCACTGCGACTCATCCACAACTGAGTCAGCAACGGCCGGCCGCCGTCGCCGCAGATTCAGCAGCTTTATCCGAGCCGAGTGACTGTCTCCAACGACCCAGGGGCGGAGCCGCGAGGGTACGTCACCAACCCCTCCCCGAAGAGCCCCAAATGGTCACCAGGGGACAGCACAGGACCGAAGTCGCAAAATCCATCAGCAATGGAAGGGGACGTTGAAAACACGCAAGTAAAAGGTTACAACCAACACTGGACGTCAAATCGTAGCTAATATACAAGAGAACTCCAAGAAACCAGTAAATTTCAAGACATAAATTGCATCCCAGACGGTACCCTGGAAAATGGACCAATCAGAGAAGAGTTGGCAATGACGCATCAGAGCGGCGGAGGAGTGCTCGCCGCCGGAGGCTGACAGACAGATCCCTGGGGGACTCCGGCCGAGTGACACACGCCCGATCCCACCATGTAAGTTCCCTGAGATTATCCTGGCGGCTGGGGTGGGGTAAATTAAACGGGGTTTAAGAAATCTACATTATGAATTAACAACGTAACGAATACAGTTCAATTCCAATACCGTACAGGCTGGACGCAGGTTACCAAAGCTTATTTAGGAACATGGTGTGTGGATTTTACCTGATTGGTTATTATTCGGAAAATGCGTTGTAACTTGGAAAACGACTTACTCCATTATAGAAGCTGCGGAAAAGGCAGGACTTTACGTAGGAATCAGGACCTTAGTGGGTTGGCGAGAAAACTGGCACATACAGCGTAGGTAATATTTTGTTTCCAATGATTGAAACTGGCTTAGTTTCCGAAACGTGTAATATGATGAGATCTGTTTAGCTTTGTTGGTTAGGAAAACTTCGAATGATTAAATGTTAGGTAACAATTACCAAACCAGAGTATGATATCAGTTGTAAAGGAATATGTTCACTATTGACTTATCGTTGCTGGCGGAGAGGCGTACCATTACTTTACTGTTTTATTGTTAACGTTTGCTAGCTTTGCTTTGCTTCACAAATATATCAATCTGTTATTTCATAAAGAGTCTTGAGGGAAATTTCGGGAAAGGGTAGGAAGTTACCAGTACGAAATGAAGGGACGGAAAGAGAGGGAGAACACGAGGGTAAATCGGGACGATCGGGAAAAGGGAGAAACATGGGCGGCAGCAGAGAAAGACGGTAGCTGCGAACACTGACTCATCCGCGCACTGGTCGGAGGCTGAGGAGCTGGCCCGGAGAAGTCCCAGAAAGGTGAGTGATTTTCTTTCATTGTAATGTTGCGGTGTTCCGAAATCAGTAGAATGTTTTCTGTAAATTCTCCGAAGGTTGTGTAAGTACATAGATATCAGGATAGGATTCGGGAAGTAGGATTACAGATATTAGGATGTACATCCGTTCGTTTGTTTATGGGATCAACGACTAAAATATGCCCTGCATTCCTTCCATACGCCCATCCTAAAGCCCCGACGAGTTACTGGTGATCAGTTCTTGTCGTACCCCTTCCAAACGCTCATCCTAAAGCCCCGACGAGTTACTGGTGATCAGTTCCCGTCGTAACCCGTCCAAACACTCATCCTAAGCCCCGACGAGTTACTGGTGATCAGTTCTTGTCGTACCCCTTCCAAACGCTCATCCTAAGCCCGACGAGTTACTGGTGATCAGTTCTTGTCGTACCCCTTCCATACGCCCATCCTAAAGCCCCGACGAGTTACTGGTGATCAGTTCTTGTCGTACCCCTTCAAAACGCTCATCCTAAAGCCCCGACGAGTTACTGGTGATCAGTTCTTGTCGTACCCCTTCCAAACGCTCATCCTAAAGCCCCGACGAGTTACTGGTGATCAGTTCTTGTCGTACCCCTTCCAAACGCTCATCCTAAAGCCCCGACGAGTTACTGGTGATCAGTTCTTGTCGTACCCCGTCCATACGCTCATCCTAAGCCCCGACGAGTTACTGGTGATCAGTTCTTGTCGTACCCGTCCATACGCTCATCCTAAGCCCCGACGAGTTACTGGTGATCAGTTCTTGTCGTACCCGTCCAAACGTTCATCCTAAGCCACGACGAGTTGCTGGTGATCAGTTCTCGCCGTACCCTGTCCGAAGGAGAGCCCCAATCTAGACCCCCGGTACTAAATATATTATCCATCAGTCTTCCCATTAATAGTCGTTGATTTCCGTTGAATAAGGAAAGTATGGGTTCAGTAAGATCAAGATAGGAATGATAACGCGCAGCTGAACTTGTGAGTGCTCGCCTTGACCGAGCCGTATTTTGTGAGCTAAGAACGTTAGTTGTTTAGAATGAGATAATTGAGGATATAATTTTACGAAGTAATTTCCGTGAACGGTTTAAGAGCGCCAGGTGTTGCTTTGAGCAGGGTTAAAGAAGGATGTTAGCCTTGTCGGGAAATGATTATTCAGTTAAACCGTTGTTTTATGCTATTACGATCATACATACAGTGGACGTAAGGAAAGGGATACGAGTACGAAGTAGGAATAGGGCAGGTAGTCCGAGGCGAGTTGTTATTGACGCGATGGGTAGGAATTCCTCGGGAAATATAAGGAGTCGAGAGTAGGTTGAGATGGGAAGTTTCCATGTTTTATGTTATCGTATGGGCAATTGTTTTTTTTTTCGAGGTTAGACGGCTTGTGTGCCCGGCTTCTATGTCGATATTTCTACCAACATGGCTTTTGTACAGTTGAGTGCGTACAGCGAGAGGTCTGTATTGTCAGGGCGGTGTCAACAATGTCTGCACGTCTTATTTCGACCGAGAGTAGGGGCCGTAGCGTAGTGTCGTGAGGTAGTGACGTCGGTAGGTTTGTCAGTAGGTGGAAAGGTGGATTGAGTTGGAGTTGCAGGGTAAGCAAACGAAGTATTGAGAGGTATGTAGGTAGTTCCGATAATTTTGGTAGTCAAGGTAGTTGAGCCCCTGTAAAAGTTAGTGAGGCCGGTAAGTCGTAGCCAGCGGGGTACGCAGCGTTAAGTCCTCGGAGTCGACGGGCTCCCCCGTAAAAGTTAGGCCGAGATGTGGTGACGTCGAGTGACGTGGTGATGTATGTTGTGTTAGTGGTAACTCGGCAGGCCGACGGGCCCGAAATTGAGGAAGGCCCGGGATGGGACAGCATGGTAGCCTCCGGTGAGTCTTTATTTAGCTTCTTTGTTAGATGGCGGATAGCAGACAGAAGACGACACTTAAGACCCTGTTAGCGAGAATGTATGCAGTTTAATGGACATTTATCCAGCTTGGGAGTCAATCTTTCATTTGGTCACCGGCACTACTGGAGGGAGACTTTCGGGGGTAGCACAAACGAAAACTAGAATGGGAGACGTGAAAGGGCATAATGAATGGGGACGAATGAATCTTTGGTTAAGGACCAGTAGGAGGTGTGCTGAACTCAGCCGGAATGATCGTATGAAATGACACTCGAGGGCATAAGGAATTTAAGCACTAATATATCATTCAACCTCGCAAAGCCGATTCAATGTACCAGAATGACCAGCCTCAAATAACATAAAGCATCGACTATCACCCGATGCAATATTGTCTGCAAGGGAGGACTTTCATCATTTTCTATCTTTCTCTATCTTTGTTCTTCCTCTATTATTTCTTCTCGTTTTTCCTCTTTGACCGTCTATCGAGGGAGTACTGACGAAAGGTGGCGGTTTTCTTCATTTCTAACTATAATTTCACACTTAAACTTCACTTTTCCACTTTTCCCACTTTTCTATCAGCCTCTCGCGCTACACAAGATCAAACGTCCAAGCTAATTTAACGCCACCCCAATCCCATAAGTGAAGGCCGTCCAAAACGCTCCCCCATAGGCAAAAAAACGGTGTGCCACCGCTAAACGACACCTTTTTGCGTTATCCTTTGAACATTGGGCAAAACATTTGTACAAAGTCGTCATTTAGATACACTGAAAATAAATTAACACTCGCGTGCCGGTGACACGAAAAAAGCACCAATGAGAGGCGTTTTGGTAGGGTGTAACACAACTCAACTGTGTAACTGTGGGGTGTAACGCCGAAGAATGGTGCAATTACTCGGTGTTCAAAATCAACACCGACAATTAACACCAATGCCACCTCAGACCAACCGACGCTACGGATAAATAACACCACCATTTGGTGTCAACACCCCGTGACAGAGACGTTATATCGCATACGCCACACAATGGTGTAGCTCCCAGTTCATTGATCTCTAAACGGTGTTACTAGCACCGTTACCATGGATCGGATATGGCCTTGGATTCAAGGTCAGCCGGCCGCCGGCCAGCGCGAGCGGCTGCGCGTGCACATGCGTAAATTCAAATGAACGGCGGCGTGTTGATTCGCGCTTCAGTTTGAGTCGAGTGATGCGGGGCTGTGTGGAGACTGGAGGTGGTGTGAGATTACAGGGCTGCGGAGTCGGAGTCGGAGTCGGAGTCGGAGTCGGTCGGAGTCGACAGTTGTGACCGGAGTCGGAGTCGGAGTCGGAGTCGCTTTTAGAAACCCGATCCGGAGTCGGAGTCGGAGTCACCGAAAATCTGTCGACTCCGCAGCCCTGCTAGGTCTGCGGAGTCGGAGTCGGGAGTTGGAGTCAGTC